GCACCGATCCCCTCCTCCCCCCTGCCTGATATCTGATGAATGTTACTACTATATGTGCACACAAGTGCTAATCAGTTAATGCCAATTTTATGGTGAGTACATGTGGTGCTTGTTTTTCCATTTTTGTGATACTTCACTTAGTATAATGGGCTCCAGCTCTATCCAGGATGATAGGATGATACAAGAGGTGCTAGATGACAATTGGTTTTTGTGGCTGAATAGTACTCCATGGTATACATATACCACATTTTATTAATCCACTCATGTATTGATGGGCACTTGAGTTATTTCCACATCTTTGCAATTGTGAATTGTGCTGCTATAAACATTCAAGTGCAGATCTCTTTTTTATAGAATGTCTTTCTTTCCTCTGGGTAGATGCCCAGTAATTGGATTGCTGGATCAAATGGTAGTTCTACTTGTAGCTCTTTGAGGTATCTCCATATTACTTTCCACAGAGGTTGTACTAGTTTACAGTCCCCCCAGCAGTGTAGGAGTGTTCCTATCTCTCCGCATCCACACCAACATTTATTTTTTGGGGACTTTTTGATAAAGGCCATTCTCACTGTAGTTAAGTAATATCTCATTGTGGTTTTGATTTGCATTTCCCTGATGATTAGAGATGTTGAGCTATTTTTCGTATGTTTCTAGGCCATTAGTCTGTCTTCTTTTGAAAAGTTTCTGTTCATGTCCTTTGCACACTTTTCAATGATGTTTGATTTTTTCTTGGCGATTGTCCTTAGTTCTATATTGATTCTAATTATCAACCCTTTATTGGATGGGTAGCATGCAAATATTTTCTTCCATTCTGTAGGTTGTCTGCTCTCGTGATAGTTTCCTTGGCTGTGCAGAAGCTTTTTAATTTGATCAGGTCCCATTTATTTATTTTTGTGGTTGCTGTGATTGCCTTTGGGGTATTATTCATAAATTCTTTGCCAAGGCCAATGTCTATAAGAGTTTTTCCAACATTTTCTTCTAGAATTCTTAGAGTTTCATGCCTTCAGTCTGGGTAGACTGTGAGTTGTCCACCGTGAGTTGATTTTTGTGAGAGGTGCCGATCCTGTTTCAGTCTTCTACATGTGGCTATCCAATTTTCCCAGCACCATTTATTGAATAAGGATTCTTTCCCCCAGTGTATGTTTTTGTCTGCTTTGTCAAAGATTAGATGGCTATATGAGGATGGATTTGTATCTGGGTTCTCAGTTCTGTTCCATTGCTATATGTCTCTGTTCTTGTGCCAGTACTATGCTGTTTTAGTTACTATAGCCTTGTAGCATAGCTTGAAGTCTGGTAAATTGATGCCTCACAATTTGTTCTTTTTGCTTAAGATTGCTTGTGCTATAGGGTCTTCTCTGGTTCCATATGAAGCATAAAATTATGTTTCTAGATCTGCAAAAAATGATGTTGGCATTTTAATAGGGATTGCATTGAATTTGTAGATCACTTTGAGTAGTATAGATATTTTAAGAATGTTGATTCTGCCGACCCATGAGCATGGTATGGTTTTCCACCTGTTTACATCCTCTGCTATTTCCCTTCCTCAGTGTTTTGTAGTTTTTGCTGTAGAGGTCTTTCACCCTCTTAGTTAAATATATTCCCAGGTATTTTATTTTCTTTGTTGCTATTGTGAAGGGTATTAAGTCTTTGATTTGGTTCTCAGTTTGACCGTTTTTGATGTATAGGAATGCTACTGATTTGTGTACATTGATTTTGTAACCTGAGACTTTGCTGAATTTATCAATTCCAGTAGTCTCATGGCAGAATCTTTGGGGTTTTCTAGGTATCAGATCATATCGTCAGCAAAGAGCAATAGTTTGACCTCTTCTGCCCCCATTTGGATGCCCTTGATTTCCTTCTCTAGTCTGATCGCTCTGGCTAGGACTTCCAGCACTATGTTGAATACAAGTGATGATAAGTGGGGCAGATTTCTGTTCGTCCTGTTGAGTTGAACGTTGTTGCTTTGTTTTCTCTCTCGAGCCATTGTGGTATATGGCCTTTGACCTTTAGCTTTTGGATGATTTTACATTGGTGAGTGTGTATTGTGCTGATCCATGTGGAACACTGTTCTGAGTAGTTCCTAGAGGGAAGGTCTTATCTTGAGGAATTCCCTCATCTTTGGTTGTCTGAGAAAGGTCTTTATTTCTCCTTTGTATAAGAAACTTAGTTTTTGCAGGGTACAGGATTCTAGGCTGGGCGTTATTCTGTTTGAGAAGAGTGAGAATGGGGCCCCAGTCTCTTCTAGCTTGTAAGGTCTCAGCTGAGAAGTCTGAAGTTAGTCTGATGGGTTTTACTTTGTAGGTTACCTGCTTCTTTCACCTTACAGCTCTTAGGAGGGCCTCTTTGGTGGTTATTTTGGCCAGTCTGATGACTGTGTGTTGTGGTGTCTTCCTGTTTGCAATGACTCTCCCAGGAGTCCTTTGAGCTTCTTGTACCTGGATGTCTGGATTTCTAGCAAGGCCAGGGAAGTTTTCCTCCATAATATCCTCAAATAGTTTATCTAACCCTTGTGTATTTTCTTCTTCACCCTCAGGGATGCCTGTAATTCTCATGTTAGGCCTCTTCACATAATCCCTCATTTCTTGTAGGCTTTGCTCTTTTCTCTTATTTCTCTGCTCTGCCTCTGTGACTGATTTGTTTAATTGAAAGGTGTTATCTTCAATCCCTGAGATTCTTCTTGAGGCCTTCCACTATGTTTTGTAATTCCTTGAATAAATTCATCATTTCCAGAAGTTCTGTTTGATTTTTAATATTTAAATTTCTTTAGTGAATTTTTCTTCCAAGTCCTGGATTTTTCTTGTGGTTTCTTTGTGTTGGGTATCCATTTTCTTTTGCATATCATTGAGTTTCCTTACAATCCATGTTTGAAATTCTTCTTTTGTCATTTTAGTGTTCTGCATTTCATTGATATCCATTGCTAGAGAGCTGGTGTTCCCCTTTGGGGATGTCCTTTCACTGATTCCCATCAGGAGCAGCTGTTGCTTCTTACCTTTGGATTTCTGTTTAGTTCATGACACACCCAATTTAGTCTCTGAGCCAGTAGGTGGTGCTTGTGGGTGAGAATTGACCACACCCTGTGTGATGAGTCAGTAGATGCAGTAAAAGGGTGTGCAGAATGACCTCCCTGTCAGTAGGTGGCACTTTCTGGGAGGAGCAGGCTGTAGTGCTGTTTTTGGGTCCTGTAACCAGCTCTTGTTCCTCTGGAGAGGCACTCTGGTGCCTCGGTTGGTGGGTGGGGCCCTGGGACTTCCAGGTGTGTCCTTATTCTCCACCTCAGTGGGGGCATGAGGCTGGGCAGAGCTGGGTTGGGTTAGTTTGCCCTCCAGCTCCACAAATGCTGTTAGCAGGGGTCAAAGGTCTGTTCTCTGCTTCTGGGCAATGCTGCCAGGGAGGGGCTGAAATGGCCCCAGTCAGCTGAAAAGCCCGCGTGTGAAGGTGGGGCTGTCCGAGACCTGCAGTCAGGAGCAGGCCTTGCTCCTTTCCACCCTCCCCTATTCCGCAGTTTCTCCTGGGCCTCTTCCCACAGGCAGGACCTCAAGCCAGCGTATCTCCCCTTACTGTGATGCGAGCCAGGAGGTTCCCTGCCCAGGATCGTGGCCTGAGCTGGGAGCGGGTCCCTCCCATGGAGGAGGGTTGTCCCTCGAACACACTACAGCTAGCACCCACTCTAATCTTCCCCTGAAGGCACACACCCCTCAGCAGACGACAAATATCCCTTCTGTGCCCCCAGGCAATGTGATGGAGACCTGGGTGTATGGGATCTGGCCTGCAGGCCTGTCCCCTGGGCCCTGGAGATCAATTCCTGATCCCACCAGGGAGAAATGTGCTGGTCTCAAGTCACTCACGGGGTGCCCAAGCTGGATCAATGTCTGTCTCAGGGTCTGTCTGTTTGCCCTGCTCTGCTAGAGTCACCAGACAAGCAGCCCCTGGGAGGGCTGGAGGGTGGGGAGCTCACAGGCCTAGTAGTCCTCAGTCCACTGCAGGGCCCCAAAAGGAAAGGTCCCATTCCCTGTGGGTGCCTTTGGGTGGTGGCTAAATTGTCTCTCTGCAGCCAGGGGTAGGGGAGAATGAAGCAATATGGCGCCTGCCGATTGGCCGGGGTCTGTGGGGCGGGAGGTATGGTATTGCAAGGGAGCCGGGAGCCTGGTGCCCTGTCTGCAAGAGGCTCACCACTCACGGGCAGCAACCACCTCTGGGCTGGTGTCGGCAGGTCCCTCCAGCAGCTCGGGAGCCCACCAGCAGTCCGAGATGCAAGGGCGAGGAAATTTAACTGCTCCACCTACCCTTGTCACTGGTACCCAAGCCTCTCAGGGTTTAGACCCTGCTGATGCTTTTCTCCTTCCAGTTCTGCTCCACAACCTCTTCCCGTGGAGTCTTCTGTAGGTTCAGGCACCCTTCCTTCCGACCCTTATCCGATCTATATTTTTCACTTTCATCTAAAATCTTTCCTTCTTGCAGAGACACTCTGGCTGGAGGTGTTTCTCGTCTGCCATCTTGCCTGTGTAATCCTACCACATTTTTTAATCATTTCATTTCTGTTTAGAGAAATTCCTTTAGCCATTCTTTCAGGTTAGGTCTGCTAGCAACAAATTCTTTTAGTTTTCTCTCATTTGAAAATGTCTTGATTTCCTCTTCATTCCTGAAAAGTATTTTCTCTGGGTGTAGGATTCTGGGTTCATGGTTTTTTTCTTTTTTGCACTTGAAAAATGTGCCACTTTTTTCTGTCCTCCGTGGTTGCTGATGAGAGACCAACTGTGTTCCTATTTGTTTTTTCCCTGGAGGTGTCATTTCTATCTCTCAAAATATTTTTGTCTTTAGTATTCAGAAGTTTGTGATATGTCTTGGCATGGATTTCTTCGGGGTTATCCTGTTTGAGTTTGCTCAGCTTCTTGAATCTATAGGTTTACGTCTTTTGCTAAATATCAAAGTTCGTAACCATTATTTCTTCAGATAGTTGTCAGCACCTACCTGTCCTTTCTTCCAGTCCTCTAATGACAAAAATGTGAGATCTTTATAGTCCTAGGGGTTCCCTGAGAGGTTTTTTTCTTTCTTTTTTTAGTTTACTTTTTCTCTGTTAATTTCTGTTGTTCTATCTTAAAGTTCTCTGATTATTTCCTCTGTCCCCTCCATTCTGATGTTGAGCCTATCGAGTTTTATTTCAGTTATTGTATTTTTGAGTTCAGCGTTCTTCATTTGCTTATTCATTATCACTTCTATTTCCTTGTTGGCTTTTTTTCATTTTCAAGCATGTTTATAATTGTTTCTTGAGGCATTTTTTAAATTGTGGTAAAACATAAAATTTACTGTTTTAACCATTTCTAAGTGTATAGTTTAGTGGCATTAAGTACATTCACATTGCTGTACATTCATCACCACCAGTCTCCAGAACATTGTGTTTTCCCAAACTCAAGCTCTGTACCCATTGACCAGTAACCCCCCATTCACCCCTTCCCCAGCCGACCACCGTTGTGTTTTCTGTGTCTGTGAGTTTGGCTCTAGCCACCTCGTACATGTCAAACAGCAAACTATGTGTCCTTTTGTGTCTACCTTATTTCACTTAGAGTAACGTCTTTAAGGTTCATCTGTGTTGTAGCACGTCAGAATTGCATTCCTTTTTAAGGTTGAATAATGTTCCACTGTGTGTATCACATTTTATCTGTTCATCAGCTGATGGACATTTGGGTTAGTTCCACCTCGTGGCTTTTGAGAATAATACTGCTGTCAACATTGGCATACAGATCTCTCTTCAACTCCCTGCTTTCAGTTCTTTTGTCTATGGACCCGGAAGTGGAATTGCTGGATCGTTTGGTAATTCTGTTTAATTTTTTGAGGCACTACCATCCTGTTTTCCACAGTGAATGGACCATTGTACATTTCCACCAGCAATGTACATAGGTTCCAGTTTCTCAGCATCCTCACAAATACTTGTGATTGTGTGTGTGTGTGTTTATAATGAAGTCATATCTTGTGGGTTTGGTTTGCATTTCCTAATGATTAGTGAAGTTGGGGATCTTTTCATATGCTTGTTGGTTGTTTGTATACTGTATCTTCATTGAAGAAATGTCTATTCAAGTCTTTTGCCATTTTTCTGTTGTTGAGTTGCAGTTCTTTATACCAGTAACACATATTTTTGATTACTGTAAGTTTTTGTAAGTTTTAAAATCAGGAAGTATGAGACCTCCAACTTTGTTCTTTTTCAAGATTGTTTTGGAGATTAGGGGTTCCTTGAGATTCTATGTGAAATTTAAGAGGGATTTTTCTATTTATTTCTACAAAAAAATGTTCTAGTTTTATGTTAAGACTTATAAACACACGAGTTTGGGGAGTACTGATTACGTTAAACTTAGTAGACCTTGCTCTTCCCATATAGTAGTTCTCAGAATCTTAACACGAGTCCTCTATTTTCCTGTAATTGAGGTCAAATAGAGAGAGAAAGCCAGAAGGAGAAGGATAGGAAATCTAAAAGGGAGCCCATCATCACAGAAATTTGCTGAGAGGATGTGAAGTACAAACTTTTCATTTGCCACAAAATTATTTGAAACAAATCCTAAGGTTGTTCAGTAAGTCATTGGACTTCATATTTGAAGTGATGATCGGGTTACGTTTATAAGTGAACCTTGAGGTCATACGAGCTGGGTTTAATTATAACTCATTACCCTAATCAACCTTTTACTATAGAATTTGACCTCTCCTTCATCTTTTTAAAAATGTATCAAGTAAAGCTTCCTGATTTATAATACATCTATAATACATAATTATAATACAAGCCTGAAAAAGACATTGCTCAGCTACTGCTGCCTTTTTCCAGAATTGTAACTCAGTCACATCCAAATAAACATTTTGGATGGATCGTGTAGTAACATTGGAACCTAACAGAAGCACATCTGTGGTCTCGTTTTTGACTTCCAGAATCTCTACACAAGGAAGTTCAGGATTTGGCCTTTCTAGATGTCGTATCGAAACTTCGCCGTCACGAGAACAAAAGCGTTGCCCAACAGGCCTCTCTCACAGAGCAGAGACTGACCGTGGAAAGCTGAGGCCTGCCCCTCCTGGCTACGCGGTACATCCCATCTCCGACGTCCCCTCTGTCCTCCATCCAGCTGCCTCTTCTGCTCCACCATATCACTCGTGCATGCATGTAATGTTCCAACCCCAACCGAAGAACTTCTGGGTACCTGCCTAATAAGATTTCTAATCCCATAGTTAGTGTGAACATGACTCCATCCAAAACAAGTCTCCACCCATGACTGTTCTCTTGTATTCCTGTTGCTTGAGCTACATTAAGTAGAATGTGCATGTTGTAGTCCTCTGATGATATAAACTTGGTACTACATAACGACTTGCTCCGCACATGCGGTAAACCACGTAATGACGTCCTGGTAAATTAGAAACAAAGAATACTGCAGGACCTGTCTAGCTTTTTAAAGATGAAACTGAATAGTGAAAATAGCTCCATTTTTTTGGTGCTTGGGAAGCACGGTGACCAAAAAAAAAACTGTATGGCTGCTCATTCATTAGTCTTACTAATGTCAAAACCATGGTACCTAGAGTTAAATAAAATTCCCATGCTCTCACTCTTTACCCGATGGTTCTTCCCTTTTCCTGACTATGTGGGCTATTGCAAGTGTCACAAACTTGGCAAGACTTTGAGTCCATATTTAATTGACTGCCATCACTAGCCCGATGTTGAAAACATCTGTAGATTTCAGTGTGACACACTAAGGGGTTGAAGAATCCCTATGACACTAGAGCATTTTGTGTTTTGCCCGTATTTCAGATTCTGGTATCTGTGCAGTTTCACCTCAGCCTTCTTCCATAAGTTAATCAGCACTTGTCTTTGAAAAGGCACTTGTTTTCAACTGAGGAAATTGAGTATAGCTCATTGGAGAATGGATTTTTTTTTTTTTTTTTTTTTTTGCTGTTTTTCATTATTCAGCTAGAAAGCTAGAAGTTTCATCTTTCATAGTCCTTATAAATCTTACATTAGCACTAGCAGGACATAGGAGGAAAGATGAAGAAATAAGCTTGTCTAGACTGAAGGAAGGAAGGCAGGTTACAAAAGCCATAGTAGCCAGGCCAGTTCATTCTGAGAGGGCCTCATACCAATCGCTGTTAGAGTCCCTCCTCCACCTCCCCGCTGGGAACGGCAGTGATCTTAAAGTCTGCAAGTAAGCCACGACTCGAGAGAAGACCCCCTTGGCGAAATAGAGTGAGTGTACTCTTCACTGCCACTAGCCCCACCAAATGGGTTTTTAGAGCTTTGAAACACAATCTTTGTAAATTAAACAAAACATCCCTGTGACCCACCTGCCTTCTCCCCCTACCCGAGTTCGACCACTACTGGCCTAAGAGGCAAGACGGGCTCCAGTACGGAAGGATGCAGGACAGTAACAAGGGCTGCCACGGAGGGGGCAGGAGGGCCTTCCCCTCCAGTGTAGATGCTACACATCTGTGAGAGTGGTCCGCGTGGACTTGTGACTCTGAAACAGCTATAATTCAAGAAAGTTAAAACCCTAGTGGAGGTGAAGAATCTTTTGACTGATGTTCCCTTTGATGTCCAAATAAGGGACTATTATGAATGCTTATGCCACACTTACTGTAAGAATGATCTTGTTTATTGTCTTTCTCCTGGGCTGGATAGTGGACTATATTTTATTATAGGTTTTGAAAGACATCTGTAATGTTGCTTAACAGACTGTCCATATTAATAACTTAATAAATAAATAGTATATCAAACTATAATGGCATCATTGGGTTTGTTTGTATATCTTACCTATACTTCCAGCTCCTAGAACAGGGCTTGCTCATCATTGGTAATCAATAAGTATTTGGTAACTGAACGAATTCCTACATCCATGAGGCTTCCAGACTGCCTGCCTGAACTAATTTCCAGAATAGAGAATTTGAGCTTTTGTCAGACTTCAGAAAAAAAAATTAATACTAGGCTCTGTCCCTATTGGAAAGCACTGCACGGAAAACTTCAGAACAGAAACACCCTGAAATCACAGATTTGGGCGATATCACCGTCTGGGTCAGCCACCAGCCATCGGTTTGCTTTTGTGCTAGGAAGGCCCATCCAAGTGTAATTCAGACTACCAGCTGTTCTGCAGAAAGACCAAAGGCTGTGCCTTTGTGACAGGGGCCCACTAAATTAAGTAGTGCACTGCTGTGCCCTGGCTGTGGGTGGGACTGTACTGTCCCTCTCCTCCTACTGCTTAATCTTGGTTCAAGAAGCCACCATTAAATTAGCTTGCTACCCACTAAGAGTACAGTCTAAGGGCGAGGATGGGAGGGACAGCACAACAAAGCTTCAACTGTCATCTCGAGCCAGGACTGGAGCATAGATGAAAAGCAAAAAAGCCCGAATTCAAGCAAAGACGACGCCTGAGTGAAATGCACTAGAATGTTCCTCCTCCCCCTTGGCCCCATTGGCAACTCGGAATCTTGCCACCTACCCACCCAGACGGCAACCTCATGCTCAAAGCAAAATGGACCCAACACTGGCCCATAATCTAGCGTTTTCCTAGATAAAACATGCTTTGAGCATCCTCTCTGATAAGAATGGGGATGTGGAACAAAACTTTTCGGTCTGAAATGATTTCTTGGATGGAACAGAACGCAGCTTTCACGGGCAAGCATTAGTGTGGAATGTTCTGAGAAACCTGCGTGCAAAGACTTCGGAGAGAGACGCTCTTTGGCATCATTAGGAGGCTTATTATCTAATTCTGCTGAACATAACAGGATGCAGATGTCTCAATGTTAAGACATTTACTTAGGTGAGCATTACCCTTTGTACTCAGCTGTTACTAGAATCAGTAAGCTGAAAAGCCACTTAACTCCAGAGAGCCCTAACATTTGAATTACACGAGTGTCTATTAAGACGCACTTACTTAATGATATCTGGGATGAGTCTTCGGAGCTATAACCAGGAAAATTGAGGCCTTTCACAGGTGTGATCTCTAACTTTACATACATACACAAACACACGCCCTGTGCCTTCGTAAGTCTGCGTGTTATAGGTGTGTCTGAAATGTTGTGATAACTGTACTTTTAACACATTGACTTCCACACTAGAAAAAAAAGTTTTTCCCTGGGACCACAGTATTTTATTAAAATGATCTCAATTTATTTTTTGTTGTTTTCTGTGAGTTATATGCAACCCAGTCCACGTTTTTAGAATGAAATTGTCAATGTTAATCGTAGCAGTAAGACCATCCACAAATAAGATTTTCATGAACCAACTGCAGGGTTTTGCTTCAGGAGGCCCCGGGCTCAAAACCAGCCTGCGTTGAATACAACTCACGTGGCAGTCAGTGTGTTTAAAGCGTGATACAGTAGAAAGAGAAGGGTCTTTGGATGCTGTCTGATTTGTAGATGTGTCCTGATTGTGTTACATACCGGTTACATGACCATAGATAGCCAAGCTACTTAAACTCTTTGGGCCTGTTTTCTCATCAGTGTGACAAGTTTAATAATCTCTGCTTCCCAGGATTTCTGTGACAATTGAAACTTTTAGAGGTTATGGAATTGTGATATCTTATAGCCCAAACTATACTCCCCTCTGCCCCTTGCAAGATTCCCAACTAAGAATTCAAAAAACAACCCCCAAATGGGACGCACAGTGCGCCTGTTCATCGTTCGAGGAGCACTCAGTTATACTCAATCCAGAGCACATAATCTCTTGCGTTATTCCCCCGAAAACTAAGACGGCCCGTCTGCAGAGCAAGCTTCCTGTGTCGGTCCCCACCACAGAACTTCCTCTTCCTGTCCCAGACCCGTTCATCTGCAAAGTGGGAATACCGGCAGCAGCTCAGAATACTAGCTTTTCTTGATACTATTACCACGTCAATAATAAAGCTGGAGTACTATGAGTTTTTCCTTAATACAGAAACAAAACTTACTATGACATCGATCTTTTTAGCTATGGCCACAGAGGTGCTAATCTAACAACTGCTTTGAAAATGGACAATGCACATCTGTCTGCTATTTCTAACTCTAGATAGGACCTTAAAACTTAAGTATATAAAATGAATTGTCACCATATTGAGATAAAACTTAAGCCAAGCAGGTCCTGGTGCCTGCAGTTCTGGCCTTCGCTCCCTCAGTCCTGGCTTTCCACGGACTGGAGCCCCCACTGCTAAGCAAACCAGAGGACCAGGGCGATGCTGTGAGCTGTGACCGCTTCTCATAAGGGGCCCGAATGGTTTCTCTGGTCCCCAGCATTGGCAATGCAGCCTTCAAGGAGTGAAAGCAGAGCAAGTGGGGTGTCTACAGAAGTCAAGTCAGGGCCCCGGCGGAAAGTGACTTGGATCATAAGCCCACTACCACTGAAAACCAGCTTGGCCTTCACCTTCAGCCCCAGCCTCAGAGTATATTCACGGAACCTGTCCATGACCCAGACATCAGCAGTTTTGCTGGTAGTACCACGTGTGCCGTGGTATTTTTATCTGCTTAGTCATTGACTGTCAAAACCACATTCACCGGTGTGTAGAACTTCATAGTATTCAGTCAGCGTTGGTCACTTAAAAAGGGCATATACACAGACAATTTTCTGTTTCAGGATTAGGTTAAAAAAATTAGCTTTTTTTTTTTTAAAATCTTCATCAAGAAAATGTAAATCCTAATCTGTCATACTTGGAAGCTTCTTAGTTTCAGATTTTGGATTTTTTAAATTATATAAAGATATTTATTAGATTTTATCTTAAGAAATTCTTAAGCCTCAACCCAGGTTTTGAGTACATATACTTTAAATGTAATAATAGCTCTTTTAAAAAAATGTAATCTATTAAAAAATATAATTGAGAGATGTTACTTAACTATTGCAGTATTTATTTGTCATTTATTGATTCCCAAGAATCCCAAAGGGAAGAAACTCTGGCTATATCTGCAGATTACTGACAAAAATTAATTCCTATACTCATGCGTACTCTGAATTTTATAACTATATCTAATTTAAAATAGGCCTCTGGGGCCAGGTGCAGTGGCTCACACCTGTAATCCCAGTGCTTTGGGATGCTGAGGCTGGAGGACCACTTGAAGCCAGGAGTTCAAGACTAGCCTGGGCAACAGAGCAAGACCCCATCTCTACAAAAAATTAAAAATAAAAACCTAGCTGGGCATCGTGGTGTGTGCATGTAGTCCCATCTACTCGGGAGGCTGAGGCAGGAGGATCGTTTGAGCCCAGGAGTTTGAGGCTGCAGTGAGCCCTGATGACAATGCCACTGCACTCCAGCCCAGGCAACAGAGGAAGACTCTTTCATTCATTCATTCTTTCATTAAAATTAATAAATAAAAATAAAATAGGCCTCACTTGTAGCCAGATTTTTTCTTTTGAAAGGCCTACCATCCATGGAGGAGCCAAGATGGCGGATGAGAAAAGCCACCAGTCAGAGTGTCTCTGCAAAAAGGACAGACTTTAGAAGAAAGTGAAAAAAATAAGCGAGCAGAGAAACACAGATCGGGTGAGGGTCGGAAGGAAGGGTGCCTGAGACTACAGGAGACTCCACGGGAAGACGTCGCGGGGGAGAACTGGAAGGAGAGGTCCCGAGAGGCTTGGAGACCAGCGACAAGGGTAGGTGGAG